AGGGGTGCATGTGTGGTGCCCATGCTCTGAAAGGTGAACAGTGTTTCTTGCTTAGGAAATGTGGGCAGGGAGAGCAATGGCTTTGCCACAGCTTCTCCACTCACATGGCCCTGGACAGCTCCCTGTAAGATCACTGGGAAAGAGGGGACCAAAGCAGCACTGCCCAGACATTTCCCAGTTTCATTGCTGATCCTCCAGAGAGTCAAAATTCTTTAACAGAGCAGCCTTGAGCATCAGCTCCCACTCATCCTGTTTTCTTGCAGGAGTGGAACACAAGGTGCCTGAGTCTGGGGGCCTCAGATTGCTGAAGGAGTAGGGGAAGGCAGCAGGTGGTCATCCTACTAAAGAATAAGATCCCTCTGCACTCCATTTAGAAGGTATTCCCATCTATTAAGGAGAAGGTAAATTACCAATCTCACTTCTACAATCATCAGGTGAAAGGGCTGTTACAATAAGTTTTCTGTGTATATAAATCTATTATATAGGGCATCAAATGCGACGCAAAGCACTCCTATTTCTTGTCCTTTTCCTCACATTTATCTCTGTGCAAACTGCATGAAAATGACTTGGTATTTCACAGTCAGCATTATTTCTGATGAATTATGAATGTGTTTTTCTTAGGTTCTTTTTTGGGTGGTTGTGGGTTTGTGTTTTTTATTTTATTTAACTGAAAATAAGAGAAGTATTTCTTTTTAATCCCAACTGAAAATTTTGCTTACAATGCAGTGTTTCTTGCCTCTCAAAGTGAATAGAAAGATAAGGAAAAGGCAAAATTAATTATTTTTGCCATCTGTTTCACAGAGTAGATGTACCTTCTTTAGCACTGGACCAATAGAATTTACCTTCAGAATCTTACTCCTGTGGGTATTTCTGCAGATGTTAGTGCAGCCTAAGCTTATGCATAGTTGGGTCTAGTATTTTAAAAGAATTAGATAAAGCTATGTAGTTTATGTAGCAATTTTGGTACTAGTGCTGTGTTGATCCCTTAAATTTCTCTGGAAATACACCTGTTTTTTTCTGATGTCAACAAACTAACTATAAAATTGTGTTGGACCATATTCTTAACTCTTAACTTGCATGGATATCAGTTCATTGACTTGCAATAAAATCTGAATTAGGCCCACCTGATGAATTTTTAGCTTTTTGGGTCTGATCTGCTTTTTAGGCTGCACAGTGATTCCCTTGGGGAATCAGAAGACAAAACTGAGTCCAGTAAACTTTCTGATACTGCTGGTGAATGTATTCTTAATATATTCAGTCAGCAATTTCACTCTATTGTAGAGCAGCCTGTGATTAAAGTCTCTGTGGTCTTCTCCAAGTCACATATATTTTAGCATTACCTCAGAGGATCTGTAATGTCTATATAATGTTCCATGTCTAATTTCTATATAATGTTCCTTTCCTGTTTGGTGATTAATTGGTTAAATTATGTTTTCATTTTTCTTACTATTAGTGTATTGTTCCAGCTGAAACTTATTTTAAGAGTCTACAGGTAAACTCCAATATTAGCTCTCATTTTTAAATATTGTTTAGATATCAGCAACATCAAATTTTAACAGAGATCAATACAATATATGGGGTACATTATTAATGTTAAAAGACAAAGTTCTGGTAAGAACTAATATTTTTTTGGACAAAAAAAATACTCTATTAAAACTCAATCAAGTAGGCATTGTATAGAAAATATTTTTAACTTGTGACTAAAGACACATGCTAATTTCAGAAAGCAATCTTTAATATGATAACAGGCAACCAGAGTAATTTCTCAACACACTTAGGGTCCCATTCTTTCAAGTGTTGCATGCCTCAGAACACTGTTTTTTGCATGAGTTTTAAACAATAGTTACTTAAATCAGCTCTCATTTAAATTACACTATGTGGTTACTCTTCTGTTTAACAAGGTTAGTGTTTATTTCCAGTACAGCTGTTAAGTGGGTGTGGAGTATGGGAAAAAGGCAAGTCATAAGTGAAGAGTAATCTTACTCCCTTTTAACAGGTGACACCTACAGTGTTGGTTTGTATACACAGTGTGGGACTGTATTCACGATCACACCAATGGAAATATGCAAATAATTTTCTGAAGTCATGACTAAAAAGAAGTTACTTTAATGTTAGAACACCATAAGTAAGAGAGGAACAATTTGCCGGGTGAGTATTAGTGACAGTCAGGGTTGGACACTGACAAACCACACAAAGAATCCAGTACATTTAATGTTTCATACCATTTGTAGTTATCAGCAAATCAGTAGTTTTTTTATTTAAATTTTCTTATCTTTTGATTGAATAGCACTGTGATATTTTTCAGGAATTAAAATGTGTTAGTTTATATTTTACGTTTCATAGTCCTCTTAAAACTTTTGATGTACATCCAGCTATGGAAAGGCAAGTATTTCCTTCTGCCCATACTTGAACGAGGGAAACATAAGGATGTAGGGTCTCCAGACTGAGAGCTGGGCACAGAGTCGCCTGTAATACACTTTGGCAGTAGAGGCTGGTGTTACTGTGGAACACTGCACTTGCCATACAAATGTATTCCACTGTGTTCTCCTCTGATTTGTAGTAGAACAGCCAGAAAAAGCCACAGCAAAAGCAGTAAGAAATCATGAGAAACGGTATCTTCAGTCAGGATGTGAAAGGAGATGGTATACTGATGAAGAAAAAATACAGAAATGTTGTCTTACATCCTGAGGGCTGCAGCAGTAAGTCACTGGGGCAGAGATTAAATGAGAAAGAAGACCCAATGCTAACAGAGAAAATGAAAGAAAAATCAGCCTTATGAATGGGTGTTGTCATGTATTAAACCAGTATCCATCTGACTAGATAGAAAAAATTGCTTAAAAACACTGAGGAAGCTGAAGTCATCCGAGAAGGTTGTGGAGGTGTAGTGATGCATGATTCAACAAGGTACACAGGGATGATCTGAAACACTTACTACTTCTCTTTTTATCTTAGAAGCATTGCAGGAGGCTCTCAGCACGCAGCTACTACCATCTAGCTAAATCCTTTCAACTAGGAACATTGCCTTCAAAATATTGCCTCCTTTCCCAACAGAGCCAAGTGTGAAAGAGCAGACAGAGCCATGTTATTAAAAATCACAGGAAGTCCTGATTGAATGAATGTTTAAGGAACAGGCAAGTGTGTATTAAAATCTTTTTTTTTTCCATTCATCCTTTCATTTGGCTTTGTTTCATTTATTCCTACTTCCTGTTTCCTGTAGTCTAATTTGGAAATCTCTGAAGTATCATTAAAATACAATTGTCACAGCTCTGCTCAGGTCCCATATTGTCATTAGCTCTGCAATTAGGATTAATATTAATTTTTTAAAATATCTTTGAAGATACTGGTTTTACTTGGGTTGTTTGGTATGTTGATGAGAGGAACTTTTGCAGTACAGAGCACAGAATGAGTGGGAACCTTATAAGTAAAAATGACAGTAGACTGTGACACAAATCAGTCAGGCTGACTTTCTCTGCTGTCACAGCCAGGCACAGGTATACAAACTGTGAGTCTCTAAATTGGGTTCCTACATGTCTGCATGCAATAGAAGATTAACTGCTTAGTGTGTTTGGAAAAATTGAGAGAGTATGTACATCAAACTTACTGGGTTTTTCTTAGCTTGTTTCTGAATGACAGCAGGAATGATGAACAACAAAATCAGGCTTCTAATTACTTCCTGTTCTCCCATGAGTGCACCACACACCTCTGCTGCAGGAGCTGTTTCAGACTGGGAGAGGCTTGGCCAATGGGCAACAGCTTCCAATACAATGGAAACATTTTCTTCAAAAAATCTTTTTTTGCATTGCTTATGTGCAAGTATCTGGCAATCTGCTATTAATCAATTACTTTGGTTTGTAATTAGGTTTAATATGAATTTTATTTTTGAAGGTTTGACATGACTAAAAGATTACCATAACACCCAAATGTAAGTTTTGTTGTTTATTCCCAGATTTAGCCCAATTTTACCAAAGTAGAGTGCATGATGACTCTGTCTCTAATAAGTTTTTCTGAGCTGTCTTAGGACTTTTTAAAATATGGCTCCTTAAACCTATATCAGGGCAATTTTCCTGCTACATAGAATAGCTTGAATGATTTAAAAGTGTAAATGAATGCAAGATTATACAAATATTCAGCATTGTGTCACTGACAGGTAATGGACTGAATTCTGTCTTTGGTTAATCTGCCTGAGGGTCTGTTTCTTTTAGAGTATAAGGTCTTTAGGGACGGGCTGACTATTACTGTCTTTGGGCAGTATCTGTCTATGTTACCATAAATCAAATAGCAGAAAAGGGTTACCTGACTGCATGGAGCATACATGGACACTTCTCTGTAAATAAAATTATCAGTCTTTCAATCTAAACTGCCAGCTTCCAAAACAAACACGCAATGTCCAGTTATATAACACAACAAGATATTATTAGTGAAACTCAGTGACTCCTTACATAAATATGACCATCAGCTTAACAACACCCCGAGAATATTTTGCTCAGTAATTTTTGCACTGTGGCATAATCATATAACCTGACATCCTATGTAACCATGAAATACCAATAGTTGTGGCATTATACAGAATCCTGAGCGTGGATGATTCACAAGAAATTCTTACATTATGAACGTCTTCAATATTGATTCTACAATTCATATGCAGACAGAAATACAAAAATGCCTGGGTTTCAACAAAGGGCTACAAGGAGCCAGTCCTAACTTTTATTGCTTTGTATCTGTAAAGCCTTTGATAATGCACACATTTTTAAAGTACACCCTAACATAAGCCAGCTCCTACGTTCAGCTTCATAAGACAGCTCCTTTTGTATTTCCTCTTGCATGAGCACACACTGCACCAAAATCCAATATACTGTATCAAATTTATGCATTTTACAAATATATGACTATTTGATAAATGGAGTTGAAAAGGGGTTTTTTTTGTTACTTTTAGCAAATGAAGAATGTGCATAGTTTAGTTTGTAGCTCACATGTTGCATTCAAATTGCCTCTTTCTACAGTGCAATGTGCATATGAAGTTCTCTGAGATGTCTGAAGTAGATTCACTGTAAGTACTTATCCAGATTATGCGATTAAAATGTAATTAATTTCTAGATATCATCAATATTCTGTCATTGCATAAGGGGAATGGACTAGGTGACCCATGAAGTCTATTCCTACCCTTATATCTATTATGATTACTTTATATTAGGAAAATTATTTTTTAAGGTCACTTTTATGTCATGGTTCCCCTTACACAAATATTTGGTACATTTGGCCATTTATGTGTATTTTTTCCAGTTCTGCTTAGCATGGATTCAGTACAGGCAGAGCACCAAATGAAGGAAAAACGTGGTATTTTGTTGTAAATAATTCATAAAACAACGTTATGACCCTTATTCCCCGTGAGGCACCCAGATAATGAGCCACCCAAATGAAGCAGTGAAAACATGCACTTCCCCTGCCATGGGTGTGCCCCTGACAGACTCCTCAGGGTCACAAACCCATCAATCTCTTTTCACACATGAGCTAATCAATTCAAAGAGGGAAGTGCCAATGAGCTATTAGATCAATATGGTGAAGTATGGAGATTGATCTTATCCCAGAGTGACTACATTAACAGACTCGTCAGTGTGACCTCTGCCCTGCGGCGCACATTATACAGGATTGCAAGTCTGAAATCTGAATGAAGACCTCAGGTCATTGCTTTTAATAATCTGCTTTGCTGAAAGAATTAAAAGTAAATCTGTAAAGGGATGACTAATGAAAATATGAAGTGCTTTCTGTTTCCCTAGTCTTGGTATGCTTGCAGAAATCACAGCAGCCGGCAGCATTGGCTGTGTCCCACAGGCACCTGCTCAGCCAGGCCGGGCTGTCGGCGTTTGGGAGAACACTTCAGTACAGCCTCTGAGAGTGTGCTCTCCAGAAACCAAATACAACAGGATAACAAGTACTAGCTCTGTCAAAATCACTTGAAGTCTTGGCTGAACTGCCAGACTGAGAGCTGGACTGGAGTCCTGGTGGCCTGAATTATTTAGCTGGTGTAAGTGGGATGGCAGGAACTGCCACTGCTGTGGAAGTTGCTCAGAGTGCTGCTATGCACTGAGTGTTCCTTCACCAAGCAAAATGTTCCCTGTTCTTGCATTAACTCGAGGTCCAGCCCTGGGAGTCAGTCTGCTTTCAGTAAGGCCAGAGGCCAGTGACTTTGGGGAGAATTGATCTGATCAGAGGAGCCTAGTTCACAAAATTCGTGAGCAATATGTGCATACATTCTATAATGCTCTGCTGTCCCCCAATCAACCTGTGCTGGTAAACATCAGCAGCTCTGCAGGAAGTCTGTACATGAAGTGATCACATGTAATACTATAAGCAACCATTTCGGGCATCTCATTTTAAAGACTCATTCTTTTCATATATAATTTCAGAGATCCTGAAAAAGAAGTACACTTCTTTTTCTCAGAGCATGATATTAATATTGTTAATATTTTTAAACTCTGAATAATTTCATTGCAATGAAACATTTATGTATAGAACACACTTTTAATACTGTATTTTTATTATGCCAAACATTTTTATTGTTCATTGTATAATTGAATCAATGAATTAGGAAAAGGTTACTAAAAAAGGATTAATGAATTTTTAATGAAACTAAATGATATAACTTCTGTTAGTCACTGAGAATAATGGCAGATCTATCAGGTTTATACAGATAAGAGCTTTGTGAGTTTATCTGAGAGCCCACATAATGGCCCTCATTTAGTGTAACCTAGAGAAACAGCCCTAGCAATCCTATTCAGGATTTTAATTCATTGTTTATGTATATGATCTCTCTTCCGCCTTGTGATCAGAACACCTGTCTAATGATGCAAATATGAATCTCTTTAGCAGACACATCTATTTCCACTTGTAAAACACTTACTGAAAACAATGCTCTTTCAAAGTCTAAATGGAAGAACCAAGCAATGCAATACCACTGGGAAATGTTTCTGGACTCAGGGTAACAGATAGGGAAGCCAGTGAGAACTCTGCACATTAATAGTGAGAATGTGAACATTTCAATGCTCGCATAGCTCAAATCCTTAATGAGCACACCAGCCTAAATTCTAAACACTTTTCAGGTAGAAATTACTATGCTTAAAGATATCTCAGTAGAAAATCCTCATATTGGTATAACACTGATTGAAATGTGAATGCTGTACAAATGTCATGTAGAAAACTGTATGGCAGTTGCAAACTTGGTTCTGAATCCTACAGAGGCACTAAATATGTGATCTTTGCAACGTAGCATTTATATTCTGATTATTTGGGAATGGATATAAAAATAGGTAGCAGAATGTTATATTAGTACAGGATATACTGGAGAGGAGGGACTTTATAATGGTGCCCTTAGAAACATATTTGCATTTTTTCAATTGGAGGTATGTTACCAAACTTCAAGAGAATGATTGTGGTACTTTTCCTACCTTCCAGTAGAAACTGAGAGTATGCAGAACATGTGTGGTGCACAAGATGCTGCTCAAGAACTTGTCTGAATTCTGTGAGACCACATAATTCATAGTGGTAAGCCACAGTTACATAAATCTCACCACCAAAATGGGCATACTTTTTCCTGCCACTAAATTGTGGTTTTTACATCATGTCCTTTCCAAACAAACTAAAAAGCTATTCTATAATAGAAGGGTTTTAGATCTAGAAGGGGTTTAAAATCCTGATATATATTTGTATCTTTCCACTTATAAAGCAAGGAAGCTAATACACACCCAACAGTACAAGTCTCAGAAGGACTTTGATGCAGGAAAGCTCTTGTCCTTTACTCACTGATGGAAAGCTGGTGATTAAATATTTTCACTAAAATGAAAGCAATTCTCCTGAGCAGGGCCAAGGGTAAGTAAGTTTATAGCATATATAGAACCAAAACACCTTTTCCAGAAATATATTAACACTATCTTTTTAAGATTCAGTGCCTCACATTCAACAAGTGCTAGAAGTAAATGCTGCCTCCCAATGGAAACATAAAGTTTGTTTCCCAATAAAACAACTATAGAATTTCTAGTCCAATTGTTTTAACCTACCTCTCATAAGAAAAGAACATTTTCATTCTGGATTTCACAATCAAATATTTTGGTTTATGAATTTCATTCCAGTGGGCTCATAATGTACGTCTTGAGTAAGGCAGTTATCTTTTCCCTTTAAAAACAACCACTTGAAAACTGGTCAGAAATACAAGGAAGCAAAACTGGAATAGTGCTAGAGTTCAAACAAGGTCGTGAAGTTAATGAGAAATACAATTTATCTTACGATTCTGCAATTTACCATACAGTCTCACAACTCGTAATTGCAATATCACTGTCACACATGTGCTATCAACACATGCATCTGCCTGGTCACAGAATCTGTCGCTGCATTAGGGGTATCTGCTAGTGGCATCTATTTAGATGCTTGTTATGTATCTGAGTGCAAATAAGTAATACACATTATAGTCAGTAAGACATGTTACTAAGTTCTTTGTAACACAGGAATGGATTGAAAAGAAACCACTCCAATTTCCCCTGCAAGCAAGAGCTTATAGGCAGAGAACATTTCTGAAAACTTTCAGAACAGAAAAATAATCTTCTGGGAAAGTTACAATAGATTCAAAATACATGTCTAGAATCTAAATGCTTCCTCAGCCTCAATAGAATAAATAATGCTTTCTAGGTAAGTACTGCAGCTCTTTTGATAACATATATATTAATAAATTAAAAATGCCTGTAGATTGACAAGTGCATTGTGGGCTTATACTGGAAAGCCAATAGCTAATTATGAAAGCCTGACTTGACTAATCAATTATTCAGATGAACATTAGGTGCCTATTATATGCGTAAACATGGGAATTATATTTCCCCTAAGTAACTTTCTAAAATAACAAACCCAAAACATGTAAATTTGAAACAGACAGAAATGGCACTATTATGCCCTTATTGCACATGCAGAACTCCCACTGAATTATTCAGGGAACAGTGAATCGGAAGCCTCGATCTTCTGACTCTGAGCAGCACAGCAATAGCAGCACATGCCATGTAGTATTTGTTATGCATGTAATATTGATTTAGCTCATTCTTGCTGGTCATGTTTCAAATTCATTTCATGTTTGGGAGATAGGGAAAAGGAGTAGTATCTCTGGATTGATATTTGCAATATATTTTTATGCCTGTTGAACACAAGATTATCTGATAAATTAGTAACACCGTGTCTTTTGATTGCAGGAAGAACATGCCTTTGAAAATGAGCACCATTGAGGTAATGAATTGTGTTTTGAAAAGGTTTGTACTTGCTACCCACCTCCTGTATGTAAAGACTGGGAGAGGGCTGGTATTACAAAACAGATTCACTTATATTTCTTTAAGGCACAAACCACAACAAAATAAGGCATAATTGTCCTTTGCATTTAAAAAAGACCATGCTCTTAAACAGCATACAGCAACAGGGAAACCAGAAATAGATGTGACCAGACACCTGCTGACAAACAGTGACAAATCCCACTGACACTGCAGTGACCCCCAGTTAGTCAAGATTTAATTAAGGAGTATAATTAAGTCAGTGGAACAGAACACTAATGAGTAGTGTTTTTTTATATGGGTAATTACACATAAGAATACAAAGTGAGCTAGACCCCTACATATATCATTAAAATGAACAGTATAGAAGGACAACTAGGGCTTAAATATTTTTGTTTTTTCTCTGCAATAAGGCAGGTTGAAGTACCCCATCTTGCCAAGCATATGTAACATGCTTACAAATGCCCCTGGCCCAGCCAAGCATGTGTCTAAGCATGTTGGTAACATGACCTTGGTAGCGCAATGCACATCACCACAGCTATGCATGGATGGGACTGCCAGGCTCTGTCTGTCACTGTGTTTGCCTGTGTTTGTACTGGGCAGGGGTCACTCAGGCTCCTTTTCTAACAAATGACATTCTGTTGCTATTCTCTTACAAGTAACACTGCCTCTGGATTTCATTTATCACAAGTGTTGATTACGAGGAAGACATAGGTTACAAATTGTTCCTATGATTATCTGCATGTTGGGCACAGTATACCTTTACAATCAAATGACAGAGATTTCTTACAGCACATCCAGATCCACTTCTCTGGAATTTATTCTGGGAATCTTCGGGCAGTTGAATGAAATAGCTGAAATATTTCTGACTACGTGGTTTTTGCTTATATTTGCTTGTAATTCCAACATAAAAGTATTGTAAGGTAGATTTACTAGACCAACATTTTAAACTAGGGTGGAAAACATCATCATGAATAATGATGACAATGGTAGGGGAAAAACAACTTTCCTGTGGTCTTGAAGATTTAAAAGAATGCCTGTGTAGTTTGGGGCCAACCCTCTGCTGGGATTACTCTATCTGCTCCCAGCTGGTAGCCTGCAGTTCATGACAGCCTTTTATCCGTTATCAAAGCAACAAGTGGAAAAGCAGATCCTCCTGCCTGCTAACACTCTGTTCTGTTCTCTCTGTAGAATTTCTGCTTCTAAATCTTTCCTTTTAACAAGTCCTCAGATTTCCTTCCTACGGCTGCAGGAGACACTAAATATCTCTCAAGTTTCTAGCTCACTTGTCTAACTTAAACTCTGCAGAACACTAAAGGAAGAAAGAATAATTGCACTGCACCAGCACGTTTTCTACAGGAACTGACTGAAATGCAGAATGAGCCTTATCTTGCTCACACTGGAGTGCTGAGAGTTTAGCAACTGAGTTCAGTGACAGCAAAAGAACCTAATTACTCAAACATGGTACCAATACAATGCTTTTACAAATTATTATTACAAATTATTATTTACAAATTATTATTACAAGTTTTACTGTTGCAAAAACAAAGCAAACAAACTGCATTGACACTTACATAATATATCCTGCATTTACTTTGCTTTTTTAGTTGCATAGGAAAAAATAAAACCAGGTAGAACTAGGAGATATTTAAGTATAATTAATGCAAATTATTTCAAGCAAATTCTGTCTACTGAAACGGAACAGTTATTTTTTATTAAAACAAATATTAATGAATATATTTTGTGTAGTAAAAGTATATATTCCAATTTTGCTAAAATCATGCTGTCATGGAGTAATAGGCCTTAGATACACAATCCTGTAACAGTAACAATCAGATAAAAATTAAGAGAATTTAACAAGTTTTTATGTAGGCTATGTTAAACAAAAATATATGTTAAGATTTTGGGGATTTTTGTTAAGCACTTTGTTTTTTAAACAGATTTTCCACAATTAATGGCAGTCACACAATGACAAAGATGCCATGGGAATGCCATTGTGGCAGTGAATCTGGGACTTGCTCTCTCTCTGGATGCAGGCATTTGCCACCAGGCTCCTCTGTGCATGCCAAGGTGCCGCTCTGAGCTGGCCACAAGAGATGGGGCAGGGCCAGGTCCTGCCAGCACCGTGCCCTGCCCACAGCACAGTCCTGTCACACTGAGCACAACCACCTCTGGGGCCTCTGGTGCTCTGCTGAGACATGGGCAGTAGCATCGCATTTTCATGAGATGCCTGAGGTAAACATTCCAGAAAGGACACAAAAATTTCAAGATATGAAGTTTGTATCTTAATTTTTACCCATAAGCTGCAGCACATGCAAAAACCCTAGCAGAACTTTATGCAGTAAACCAAGGGAGGCCATAAAAATTATGCAAGTTATTTTCCCATTTTCATTTTTCTGCAGGCATGTGCCAGGATAAAATGCAGGGCTAGCAGGAGGGACTTCTGCATGGGCTGCAGACACAGGAGTGCATTAGGGTACCTGACATCTTCTTCTGCCCCGTGTTTGTCCCCGCGAGGCTGCCCCTGCCCGGCCGTGTATGAATGAACAGAAGTGCCTTTCATCCCCCACTTGCCTGGCGCTTCAAAAGGAATTACAAAAATAGCAGCCACAAAAATCCAGCTGCCTGCCAAAAGGCCCGCACACGTCCCATTCTCACAGGCATGCAAAAGGTTGGAGAGCTCAGCAGAATTTTTATGTACGGGAGCAGGCCCAAGGAAAACTCACACGCCATAACCAATTGTGGACAGAGGATCATCTATCAGCAGACAAATGCAGGAACTCCAGAATGTCTCTCCTCAAATGAAATAATATATCTTTGAAAGCCAATGCCCGTTTTAGGCCTGAGGCCCATATATCAAGCCTGAGAGGCTTGTGGATACGCTCCAGGGCCATTAACCTTCCACCTGTTTCCCCTTGTCCTTCAGGATGAGACCCTGCCCTTGATTTTACTCCCTTCCCCTGTTCATCTTCCGACAGAGTGTAAATGTAAAGCAGAGGGCCTGCGAAATAATTCAAAGGCAATGGACCAGGGACATGGTTACAAATCTCTGCCACTGGCACTGTGACTTATGCAGGCAGTTTGTCACACATGAGCCAGGTGACCTCTGTGACATAACAGAGAAAAATATCGCCCGAGATCAAAAGATGAGATTCAGAGCACTCTAAGTAACTCTGGTGTACACAGCCACGCTATGCGGTGGCCAAGGGTTTCCTCTCCTCCCAGTGCTGCTCGCTCCCTCACTAGCGGGCGAGACACACTGCTGCTAATTTCAGTAATCTCTTTTTCTCTCATCTCTTTGGAAATCTTTCCTGTAATCTGAACATCAACATTTGTCTCCTTCTGAAGCCCCTCTTTTTCAATAAAGATAGTTAAATTGACAAGGAGGGACAGCAAAGTGTCATTCAGCGGATAAAAATTAATGAAAAAAATGTGTCATAATTGAAAAGAGTGGATTAGTCACCTTTGTAAATAGGTATGTTTTAATGAAATAATTTTTGAAATTTTAAGTAGTACTGAAACTTTGTATGAGCAGTGATGTCCCTAGTATTGCAATAAAAAGTGTTCAAAGTTCAAACATTTATTGGCATTTGACTCTCATGACAGTAAAAATGAGAGTAGAGTTAGTATTTAAAATTATGTAATAGACCCAGATAACACACTTCTGCACCTATTAATATTTTCAAAGAGATATACTACAGAATCAGAATAATAGTCACTTGAAATAAACCCAATCAGAGTAATTTTTTTAAAAAATCTTGAATTTATTTTTCAAGCTGTGTTCTACATAGGAAGTCTCCCAGCTGTTTTGTACATTCAGGACTCTGCTGGGTGCAGACAAAAGAGTAAGGCCTAATGCAGTGTTTCTCTTTCACTCCCTGTAACCTAATGGTATGTCTGGTATGGACATTTAATTTTGTCTATTTCATAAATTAAAGAAAACCCACAACTGTCACAGTATCCCTGGCATGATGATGAAATGAGAAATACAACTGTAGCTAAATCAGCCTAAATCCCATTCTAATCCTAAATCACTTTGGCACTTGCCAACATCTACTTGATGAAAAACTCAGTTTAACCCGTGAATGTATATAAAAATATACAGACACACAGAGAAATTCAGCACATTGATTACAAGTGTGCCAAGTGTTACCTTATCAGCTATTTCATCCTGCTTCATCTCATGCCGACTTGGAAAATTTTGCAATGTTCACACTCTTTCTCAAAATCACCTTGCGTTCCACTATTGAAATAGATCTAAACTCACTACATCTAAAAGCATAGAAAAGTTGGACAATGGACAGGTTTTGAGGCTAAATCGTGCAGCAGTTACAAAGAAACACACAGCTGAAAATCATTTCACGTTTCCCGTTGACTAAAACCTGATGTACAGCAGTAAACCACTCTGTGCAGAATGCTGCAACAGTAAACACAGTAAATGCAAAATTAGTATTACAAAAAGATTACTCTGAAGTGTTGCCACATGCATTTGTAAAAATAAGACAGCTGTTTGATTTTATAATGCTACAATCTTTTGCTCTGGTTCAGGCCATATGATTAAACACACATTTTCTTCTTTTTAATATCTCTAAAGAAAGTCTGTCAGAGACACAACAGTCAGCAATTACAGGTCAGTTTTGTCACCAATTTCACTGAACTCCAAGTCAAATTCCAGATGTCTTCATTTTTGAAAATACCTAGTGTTACTTTTTGTGTAAAACAGAGGTGTTATAATCAAATTTTCTGGCAGTCAAATCTTTAGCTCTTTTACACTTCTACTGAATATATTAATTTTTATTTAATTTTGGTTTCACTTAGACTTTCTGCATTTTTTAATATATTTGATGTATCCCTGAAAAAATTAATATTTAATTTCAAAAGCACCTAACCCAATCCATTTATTTTTACAGTAAGTATGATCTAGTGCATCTGCTTTTGTAATATTCATGAAATCTGGAAATCAAGGCTAGGCATCATATGCTACCATCATATGCTAATAGAGGGTTTTGCTCATTTGAGTGTTTGATCTGTTTTGAATGCCCAAATGGCCTATTAGAATTTCCAAGACATAAACTACTGTAAATGTTATTATATAAAAATACTATTATATAAAAATACTATTATATGGATATAGTAAATTTTAATTTTTATAGATACACACTCAGATTCACATGAAATAATTTGTCTCATTTACCTCCTGCCATGTGTTTTTTGTGTAAATAGCTGCAGAGCTATTTTATAAAACTGAAGGTTAAATTATGCTGATTCTGAAGAAGAGAATTTGAGTCTTGGTTATAATATAACAGAATATCTTGTCTTGAGGAAAAAAGCCTCAAAATAATTGGTTTACATAGTACATGCATGCTACCAGCCCAGTTAATTGTATTTTTGAGTGGCTATGCCTCTCTGATTCAGGCATTTGAAACAAAGCAAAGCAAGAAGTATTTAACATTAACAGTAATATAAATAATAATAATTTGGGGCATGAATCATTCCTTATATTCCTTTCCAGCTAGAGACAATTTCTGTTGGGAAAAGTGCCATATAGTATCGACAGTGACAACAAATTGTATTGTGCGCTGAACATCTGTTTCCGACTCCCACACTGATATTGCAGGTTGGCTACTTCTGATTTAGTCTTCACAGGCTGCCCAACCACAGAGGAACTGGAAATTACTGGTACGTTCAACTTTTATTATTGGAACACAGGAAAACTTTATCATCATGCTGGGAAGGTCTGTGTCTTTTGAAATATTGGAAGGAGGATTATGTGAGCGCAGAAAGCCACATGCGGCAGTTCTTAGGAAGAAGGGGGAAAGTGGCTCCTCTTCATTGTGTGTGCCCATACACATGGGTATGAATGTCTGAGATTAAAATCTCAAAATGGATCAGTATTTCAGTTTTCAAGATGCGATGTTTGATGGCGAGGGTTTGGTGAGGGGTGTTTATTCTTAATAAAACCAGCAGCACTGCAAAAAAGGACTGGATTCTCCCAGTCTTGCTCAATAGGTACCAGTGTCCCTATACAGAATACCTCTGGAGTTCAAAGCAGTTCCTATAGGGCAGAGCAGACTGAGGTTTAGTTTGAATTGCAGGCTCTAGCCCCAGAGAACTGAGCTGTTCTAACTCGTAGTTACAGCACCAATTTACTATGGTAGCAATTGAAACAGTAAGGCTATGTTAACTAGCTGAAATTACACCTGTTAAAAAAATCAAAGCCAATACTAAGCATTTTTTTTGAAACTAAGGGGAGCTTGTTAGAATGATCAATGTCATTTTCCTCATAGTTACACCACCATTGTTAAAAAAAAAGTTAAGTTCCATTTCGGCTGGGAAAAAGAAAAGAAGATACATTCTTGATAGGCACCATGGACCAGTTTGATAAAGCTCCAACTCCTGATCTGTAAACTTTTTTACAGAGAAAGGAGAGCAAGAAATTCCACTGAACTCCTGTTAACACTAATTAGAGTTGCCAGCATGCAGTGAAATCAAAGGCAAAACATGTGGAGCTCCCACTGAAGTCAAGAGGAGAAGGGTATGACTTAAAGGAGAGGCATGCAAATTAAAAATAAATGTGGTTCAACTTTACCAAATGAGCTACTCATGTAAATACACACTTTGAGGTCTAACCCTTCCTACTGGGAACACTCTCCCTGCAAGTTCATTCCTAGTCAGGAGACAGCATTGTCCTTGACCACACTTGTCAAATGAGAACCTATCTTGTAAATGATAGTTCCAAGCCATGGACAATGTAAAGCAATTGCCATGTGTTTATTTCTAGTTAAAGTTGTTACTATTGTTGCTGTTGTTAATATTTTTATTATTTATTCACTGTTCTATAAGCAAGAACCATTATTTTCCAAGTCCTGCCATCAGAAAGACAGTGGTACTTACAGCAATTTTGGGTTTCTCAAAGACTTGATATTCTAGGTAAAATCTTAGCAATATGGCAAATATTCCAAATAGTGTTAGGACAACCCACGTCTTGGCCTCAGATGCAGAAAATTGCCTGTTCTTGTTTTTCATGAGTATGATATGTACTAACCCAAACAACACTCAGTAGAATTTGTTTGTGAGCAGCTGGCTTTCTATGTCCTGCTCTTCTCTCCATGTGTAGATTAAAGGTACCTCAGTGACTGTGGAGCTGTCAAAAAAGAAACTGAAAGTATTTTATGCTGTAGTGACCTGGGAACAAGCTACACATCAATTTTGGCTTCCACTTGCTCACCAGATTATTTGCACCACCACCTAATTTAGTCTCACGTCTCCTAGCAGCCAGTCTAATACATCCCTGCCATTCCCACAATTCTAAGGATTGTGGGACAGGGTTGTTATTGCCCTAAAACCACTGCACAGACAAACAGAAACAGAAACTTTGGGCAATGGTTATTCTTTCTACATGTTTTAGCTGTTACATAAAGGAAAGTTAATACTTAGAATTAAATAACTTTGTAGTTTTATTGTGATTTTTACTGAGCTCTAGAAATATCAATATGATGACTGCTGGCCCTTATGATCCACATACCATGAAACTTTTTCTCAAATATTTCCACCTTTTCCAGAAATGGTGCACAAAGATTTTGAGGGCTTGTTGCTGAAACCACTGACTGATTGAAGAAAAAAGTCAGTAGACCCCAAAGCCACAAATGATTGCAGCCTATGTAGTGGGCATGACACTAGCACAATTCCCAAGAAAGAGAAAGGAAAAGAAGATAAAGTAGATAACAAATAAGGAATTTAGAAGTAATGTGGCAAATGAAACTTAAATGCTTGACACAAGCAGCTTTACAGAAGAAAACAGAAAACTGGCAAATACTATGATGAAAATGGAAACACAGTATTCAAGATCTTAACTTGCATTTCTTACTTGGACAAAATTTGTATTGGTTACAGTAAAGCTTTTTCTGATATGCAATATAAGACTGGGTCCATAAGCACAGCCTGACTTGGACTGTAAAATGCTATACACAAGGCTGATTTGTTCAGCTCTCTATTTAGGAGAGCAAGCAGTTATAGGTACATATTTATTTCCTTGCACAGTGAATTCTGGCCATAGCATGGAGATGAGGAAGGTTCCTATCGTGTTAGTCTTTTCTGCTCATACCTTGAAGAGGGATGAAGCAGATGTGACCATTCAGCCCTGTCTCTGCCTCCCCTAAAATGCTGGATCATCCCTCAGACTAATCAGTTGCACAAGAGATGCAGAAAGCTGCTTCTTGAGTGGTGAGGGATTATGACTCAGCACCACCAGTGTGCTCATTACTCAGGACAAACTGGGAGACTGCAGTAAGCATTCCCCAATAAATACCAAAAGGTATCCAGATGAAACAAAGGGATGGTGTTGACTGTAACACCAGAATAAAGAAACAATTCTTCCTCACATTCAGTGTCACTTAGTCAGGGTGATGTTTCCTGTACTCAGCAAACACGCCAGTAAAAGAATTTCCTTGGCATCGAGACAACATGGAAATGTCCTTTTAAAATCAGTTAATGCCAATAGAACTCATGAGCTAGCTGGAACCATTTCCTATGCTATGGAAAGAACACTCAAATAAGGTTAACCAAGACATTTCACCCTCCCAGCCTCCCCCCTCCCCATCTATTTCTGGATGTCTTCTTTTGTTCACCCTTTGCTAATTATAGTGGCCTTGCTTAGGTGATATTTATAGTCTTAAAAGAGTTGCCTGACTTTTAGAACACTTTATTCATGTATATTTCCTGTGTTTATTGTTGCCTTAACTAATTTTTTAAAATTAATTTTACTTGATCCAAGATTTTATTTAGCAACAAAAATCAAAGTAACTTTTCTTTCAACAAATGCAAGAGCTGTATTTAGATGTAAAAAGCATTTTTCTATTTCTGAATTTCCGAACACAGATTTTAGTTTCTTTCCCTCTCCAAGTGATAAGTATGACAGAAAACTCTGGAATCAGACAAAATGAAATTTCTTTTTTCACTGCAGTATGGTTACTTGGTATTTTATTTTACTAATTTATCAGTAATGAGTAATTTTGTCAGTAATGGTTGCTTTAATGAGTGGGGTGTTTCTGAGACACAGTGTTAAATATTTTTTTTTCCAGACTACCCTGATGTTTTCCTAACCACCTATAACTGAAATTCCACAGGTTGCAGAAGTGGAAAAAAGACACTGAGAACATCTACAGAAAATTACATCTTCACTTTCCCACCTGCACCATATTTCATCACTTTCTTAGTTTTTCTTCATTCCTTCTTAAATCAGCCTTTTTGTTTCTTGTGCGGTTGCACTGAAAATGTGCCTGTAGTGATGCCAGTAGCAACAGCTTTCAGTCCCTATTTCAAAATGCCAAATAAAGAACATTTTGGGAAAAATCTGATGCATGCCTTTCAACTTCCTTGACAGCAGTTGGAAATGTTAGAGCAAGACTAGCTGGTGTTTCACCTTTCAGCAGCAAGGCTTTCCCCGTGCCTGGAAGCGGCCGCAGTCAGGCGCGCAGAGCTCAGGTAAGGGAGAGCACCTGGCGGCTCCGGGCCGCCGCCGTGTGCGGTCCTCGCCTCACACAGGGGTCCCTGGCTGGGCTGGCCAAGGGCACGGTGCCCGCCGCAGCCGCTCCAGGGGGGACGCAGGGAAGTGAGCGGCCCCTTCTCTGGGGGAGCCGCTGGAGCCCCTCAGCCTCTCGAGGCTGGAGCCCGGGGCTGGGCACGGACCCCGCCACACGCCCTGCCCTGCCCGCGCTGCAGCGGCGCTGGGGCGCAGAGCTGCGGGCGGCACCTCGGGCTGCCAGCCCCGACCCCTTCACTCGGTCCTGAGGCAGCCTCAGAGGAGCAGTGCCGTGCCTCGTGTTAGCCGTTTTTTTCAGCTTTTCTCCCGTGTTATTTGCTGATGCCTGCGCTGGGCACAGCGCTTCCCTCACCTGCCAGCCCCAACACCTCCTCATGGCCCCACCTGGGCCCCACCCACGGCGGCATTCAAGCTCCAGCCAGGGCCCTGGGCTCCCTCACTGCCGGTATGTGTCCGTGTCTGGTCCCTTCCAGTCCTGCCATGTCCTTTTGGCTCCCAAGGCTCTCTGTGAGAGAGGGAGGTGGGGTGGGATGGGATGGGATGGGATGGGATGGTCCTGTGGGAAGATGGCAGCTCTGCCCCTCAGTGAGGCTGAGGCCGTGGTGCTGCTGTGCCCAGCGGTTTCTGTGGCACATGGAGAGAAAATGTTTCAAATCAATTTAGTATTAGGCTAAGATGGTGTGTTGTGATTTAGGTGAAATTAGCTCTGAATAAAACTGTGCTGGAATGGAAAATACTTTTAAGTCCTTTAGTATGTTCCTGTGTTTATACAGCTGTATAAGGTGTCCAACCTGCTCTGAGTGATCCTGTGATCTGCAGTGCAGTTTGAAAGCTCTCAGCTTTAGGCCTTCTCTCCAATAATGAGTCCGATGGCTGAGTGCTGTGGAAAACATATTTGTGATGCTACTAGAGGCAGCACCAACAACATTTATGGTGAGGAACTACACAGTTTCCCGCTCTCCTAGGTATGTTTTGTTCAGATGTTGTGCTTCTACAAGGCTTTCATATGGCTGTGTAGAAGAGCATCCATTGATATAATGCAGCTTCAGCAGGGTGTAGTAAAAAGTCTGTAAGTGACTTCAGTATGGCTGGGATGTCATCCTTACTGCAAGTGATCCTAAAGGCTACAGGTTGACAGAAGAATATACTTAAACCTGACCAGCTTTGATAAATTTATAGAGGCAAACTTCCACTGTAACTGGGAGCCATCTCATAGATTAGAAATATGATAGAGATATTGTATACAAGTGCTGGTTCTGAATGATACAGATACCATGCAAAAATTCTGGATTGGAATGGAACAAGTTCTCTTCCTGCTTTAAGATCTACAGCCTGGTTATATAAAATATCATAATTTGCAGATGAAAAAACAGCTCTTTTTGGCATTTGTTTTTTGGGCAAATCTTGCAAAAACTGGAGGTCTTTGCAAGTGAAGCTCTGTCATTCTGACAATAAAAATGTGACCTTACTAGGTGAAATCAGGCAATGTATCTGATTTTTCCAAAAGATTGGAATTGTTTAGTTTTCAATGTGTAAAGCTCTCCATCTTTTGGCAAAATTATCAGGCCTTCACAGCAGAAAGTAACAGCTAAAAATTGCCTGAAAATACAACAGTCTGTCAACATGGCTGAGCATTCCCTGTTCAGTTTCTTAGTACAGGAGTTATTGTTGGAGTTAACTCTAACATCCCTTTGGACTACTCAGCATGCAAGATCTAAAGAGCACTGGTTTTTCATCTCGCCCTACAGCAATGTGATATACATTTGCTAACACACCCAAGTAATCTTTCTGTGTCAGTGCTGGCAATTGTCAAACTTTAATTGGAAGCTTAAATTTTGAAGGAAAACAATTAAACTGTAATATTAAACTTCTGTTTTGTGTAACCAATACCTCAAACTCAGATTAACTCAATGTCTGCTTCAGGATTTGTAGCAGGAGTGGCTGTAGCTATGTAATTCATGGTGTCCATATGTTAGGCTGTTACATCTCTACTTAGGGGCTGGCAGCTTTTTGAATGGTTTCTTGCTCAAATTTTCTCTGTAAGTAACAAAATTTAGTTACTGCACCACGGCTGTTCACGGTAACTTTGCTGGTGAAGTGCTGGGGGCAGGTGCACTCAGGTGCAGAAGTGTCAGTCTTTCCAAAAACACCTACATGGAACGTGTTTCTTACTCACAGCATGATGCCTAACTGGCTAATAGATAGAAAATTACTGAATCCAGAGAGACTAAACTCAGTCTCCTGCTATCAGGGGTGATGGCATCCGACATCAGAGTGAAACTAAAGTACCAGCTCTGACATGGAAGGGCATAAGAGAATGTCATCTTTATGCCTAAAAAATATGCCAGCACTGAACAACCTGTTTAGAAAGGCTACAAAATCATACGCCCTCATGCTGAAATACAATGTTTAATTTGCCTTGTTCCAGAGAAGAGCCAGATCATCATGAAGTTTATGCTAACAATGTGTTCCTCTATATTTTTTAGTGTTCGAGGAATATTTTTCTTAGACCCAGACACACTGAAGCCAGAGTACAAATCAGCAGTTACACATGCCAACATATTAACGAATCTGATTACTGGAATCAAGTGTATTCCTGCACCTCAGTTTCTGGCAGCTTCCGTAACTGAAAGAACACTGCAGAAATTTTATTTCATCAGCTATGTGAGTTGCATTTCCTGTCCTGATAAACACACACTACAAAGTCCAAAAGCACTTCAAGTTATCAAATTGCCCTTGATTACTTAAGTCTTAATAATGTATCAACCTTTCATCATCTTGAAAATTTTTAAGGTATTTCAGGGCTGATCTTTTTCTCAAAAAAACAAAACCCCAACAGAACCCAAAACTATTTTTTGCTGTTCTGTGGTAATTCCATTTAATTGTTGGATATCCATTGTATAATTCCTTACTTTCTATGCATTCCTTGGTACTCAACTACATACGGACTGAAACTTGAAATTAAAGCTTGTATATAAGAATTACATTATTACATCTATGTAAATTGATTTCACAGAAGAAATTAAGAGCCTCCAGGAGTTCTGTTAATCCTATTCACATTAAGTTTGCACTTACAGAAATAAGTTAAAACTCTGATAATATAGTTTCACTTCTGGGGAATATGTAACACAAAGCTAGGTCTTTGTTAGTTTATGAGCTGCCAAAATATCTGTGGTGCCATGTACAGTGCAAGTTCTATAGACAGGGTCCTTTGGAGATATGTGATAAACCACTGTTTGTTTGAAGGCTACAGCTAATGTAAGCATGAGCAAATTTATACTTACAGCAAGAAATCTGGCTTGGGACTGACACAGTCTGACATCAGTGAATGGTCTAGATTTGCAAACTCAGTGAATAATTGTAGCATGAGCTTCTTTACCATGAAGTGAACTGGTTCTTCCTGCAATCATTCACTACAAGGTTTGTAGTGGTACTTTGACTCACATGGTACTTTGACCTATGACATCCTCACTAAAATAGCCAAATAAGGAAAGGTAGTTTTTTTGTGAGTCACCATTCTTTTAGTGCCTTTTGTAGCTATTAACACTCAGTTGATTTTTTTCTGATCTTCAGCCAGAAGAAAGTGTCCTGAGGACTGTTTTTCAATGCAGGTCCTGTTTTTCTCCTGCTCCAGGCAGAGACTGCTTTCTTTTATGGGTTCAGTAATAGTTAGCTCTGGAAGCAGTCTTTGAATTTTCCCTGATGTGGGCTGATGAGGAAAGACCAGTCCAGAGAAGCTGCCTGCATCATTCCTTGGGGCCAGGCAGCCTTTGGACTCTAGAAACTCTTGCAATATTTTCTTTTTAGCTTTGTACAAAGACCTTTCACCTGACTAAGACAGCTGGCGACAAATCTAGCATCCCCGGGGCATTCCTGAGTTTTCTTAGCTGAAGATAAGATGGATATATCTTACTTTTATATTTACTGAGCTTTCAAAAACTCCAGAATAGCAAACAAAGGCCTTCTTTACTATTACTATTAATTACTATTACTAATACTAATACTAACACTAACACTAATACTAATACTAATACTAATACTAATACTAATACTGTTAATACTATTACTATTATCCCGAGTCTTTTGGGATGTCACCTCTGTATTATTTCGTCTGTGTATAAAGAACCAAACAGAAATATACCTCACTATGAATAAAAAAGTAATATGTAGCATTAACCCCCAATATTATGGCCTAATTATTCCTTACAAAGTATTCTGACTTCACATGACATGTAAGGATGTTTGAGATTTTAGCAAATGTTAAATTCAAATTTACAGAATTGCAATTGGCTGATTTGAATGATTATTAATCCTGACTAGTTGGCTTCCTTAATTTTTCCAGTAGTTTCTGATATCCCACATGAAGATGAGAGGATCTGCTCCTCAGCAAGTGTGAAAATTACCCTTAAATTACATACTCAAATCCATACAGGTGATATTCCAATGCAGTACATGCTGTGGGTAGTTCTACACAGTCCATATTTTTCCCTTTTACATCCTCAAATTGTAACATATTCCAAAAGAGGCAACGAAAATTTGTAGATCAACAAGTGAGAAGACTATGATGAGCTTAAACTGGTCAAAGCTTTGGAAAGTTTTAAAATGGATTTTTTTTTCATTTGAGATCTCTTTAAAAAAACCCAAATCTGCAGTCAAAAGGGAAGAAAGAAGGGAATGTTAAAAGCTGCAGCTCAGTGGTGGGTTTTTGTTATTATCTCTAGGGTAATTGTGGCCTAAAGCACTGACAGACTGGGACAGCACTTTTTATCATATCCTCCCCCTGAATTCTGCTAATAAAAATCTCTACATTTAGCAGAAAGGAAAAGGATTGCTCCTTTATATTAATTGAAGAGATGAGGGTGTAAGACAAAATTTATAATGA